GGTCGCATTCAGTGTTGTGTATGTTCATTATGTTTTGTTTTCATTTCTGTTCATGTTGGTTTAACTTGGGTTTGGGGTGGTAGTCAGTTGCTTTATTTTGTGATTTTTGTAGAGGTGGTTATGATATATAGTGGGGAGGCCAGTCGAGTGGACTGTTGAGTGTTGTGAGCACAACCTGCCTGTTATAAAGCGTGGGAAAAACCGACCATGGTTGTGGTTTGAGTTCAAGGGCCTCCAGTGTGCCCAATTTTGCCATGTAATAAATGGAGCACTTCCCACCTTCACTCATCTCAAACAGTGTGAGATTAAGTAAGAACCTAAGTACAGGCAAATCATTAGCCTCAAAGTAAGACTAAGAAACATTTATTCAATTATATACTACTTTACAGGGGTTGATTATATAATCTATCAGCTATTCTAACTAAGTTTAACCCATACTCTTTTCCTCTCTCTTTTACAGGAAGGGAGACACAATTCACGCTACACATTTCACGCTACACGAGCACGCTAACTCTCAGACACAAATCATACCGTAGACTCAGTATACAGAATCAAATTGTTTTAAACTAATCAAGGAACAAGGAAAGAAGGTATATTGAAATAAATCCTCCCAAGAACTCACACATTATCTACCACAAAAACTAGAAAAGTCGTAGACCATGTACTTAAGGACTGGCAATAAGTCTTATCCTATATAGTTGTGTTGTCACTATATAAGCGGCGTACATAAGACCCTTAAGTAAGAGGACACTGGACGCACATCCGGATCTCCATACCCCCTGTCCAGACCTCCAGACCTCCAATCCTCTATCCATCCAGATCCCTGCACCCTTGCACATCCATGCATCTGCATATTCTGATCCATGCACCCCCGTACTTCCACATATCAATACTCCCATGTTCCGTACCTATATCCAATAACATTCCCACGCCTTCTGGACATGTATCCAGACCTCCATACCCTTATCCATGCCCCCAGACTTCCAGTCCACTATCGGCCCAGATCTGTTTACCTTCGCACATCCAATATCCAGATGCCTGATCTGATGTCCGGATCCATACCTTCATATCCAGATCTCCGGATATCATCTGTACCCATCCCCGAACCCAGAACCTTAAATCAGCATCTATCCCCTTATGGTAATCCCCTTGACTCCGGACTTTGGTTATCTGTGTATCCGTCTTGCTGATTGATCCTTGTGCATACTTCATCTCTGAGTTCATTTACTTATGTTCCAACTCACTTACTAATGTGTTTCCACATGCTTGTACATAGCCTTGGTCCCTCTGCTTACTGATCCTTTCATATGTCCTCCAGTATATAAACCCTTGTACAACTCCTAGAGTTCCTTAGTTCAAATATCATCTTAGACTTCACTCATTCTGCTCTCGAACTTCGGTCCATCTTAGTCTGACCTTTCTTAGGCCTAGGGAAGGATTCCCTAGGCCGACTTTCCGATCCTCCGGATTTATCCTTCTGCGGACCTCCGGACCTATCCTCCTGATGCAGTTCCACTCTATCCTGCTTTGGACTTTGTCCCTTGCAGTCCCCCTTCCATTCTGTTTCCTCTAGAGGCAATGCCTTAGGGTCTCTCTACTTCCGTTGTAGAGACTCGATCCTGAGTAGCCTCACAATGGCATATATTGCAACATAGGTCGAGTCTACAGTAATATGCATGCAACGCGACACTTGCGCGATAAACGCGACGTTCGCGCGACGCACGCGACATAGGCGACACTTCCGCGACATAGGCGACACTTCCGCGACTTGCGCGCGCTTTAGGCGAACTTTCCCGCGCCTAAGCGCTATAGGGCGCCTGACTTCCCACTGTGTTTTCCCATGTCCAACCAAGTTCCCAGGTATGCATTTCTCCATTTATCATTTATTTCAACATCGTACCATGTTTATTTTCACTTGGTACACATTTTTCATTACACATTTTTTACTTAACACAACACACATTACCACGGACCACCATGATCATAGACAGTCACCATCTCCGAGTTTTTATTATGTTTTGAATAAATCATCGCAAGCCCTAGTAGCAGTTAGCTCTAGTGGCCATATCCGCATCAGTTGTCTTATCAGTGTCTCAGTACACGTCTTAACATCTCACTATCGCTCGCATACCGCTTTCACCCAGTTCCGCTTTTCGACGCGCGCCTATAGCGCCTTTGTTCCCGCGCTTTCGCCTTATCACGCGCTTTGCGCATTCCCCCTAGAGTTGACCAGTGGATATTTGCTTTCTCTGCTTCCCCTAAGGGACGAACATATCGCACTCATATTTTCCTCCCTTCAACAATTATATCAGCTGCACCCTCAGCTGAGTTGAAGATCCTTCACCGTGCAGTGGAAACTCCTCCGTACTTTCCTGTACTCCTCTGGAACTCTCCCACATTCCTCCGGACGTTTCCCACGCTCCTCCGGAAGTCCTCTAGCACTCTACTAGAGTAGCCAGCCTCCGGAAGTCCTTCAGACTTCATTGGACCATCATCGGACTTCATCTGAAATCAAGGGCACCATACTCGGGTAAGGGGCACAGCATACGAGCTGAGGCCAAGCCCTTCGGATCCGTCCACCCTTGAGCACGGTCTTAACAGTCAGGATATGTTGCACATGTGGCTGGTGTGGGAGCATGGGGTGCATTAAATTGTATCATCCTATTCAATGTTCAGTATCACTGATTGATGCGGATGTTTGAGAGGCATATAGTACTAGCTAGTACTTTGTACGATCAGAACGATGTATAAAAACAATGAAAAGTGGCACAACTGGCATGAACTCGTCACTTCACCTGTCAAATCACTCCAAGGTCGACCAGTCTGACTACATCAAGCACTTAACGCCTCAGAGACATAGTGAGACTGATTATAAGTCTACCGTGCAGGGAAAGAACAACGAAGAGAAAACAAAATGCTTTTGCTCAGCTGGACTTGGTCAGACTTGTGCTGGTTCACTGGGGAACCTTTGAGTGATCTGGGAGTATTGTATGTAATCCTCTTGATGACAGTTCAATTACAGCTGTTTGCATAAATGATGACAGTACACGACTTTTTGAGAAAGAAGAAAAAATAAATAAATCTTACATACACAGCAGTAAATAACGCGTCCCGCATGTATGTGAGCTACGATTGAGTTGAAAATGACAAACTTGATATCCTCTGATTCTATGGACTCTGATGACAATTCAATAACGGCAGCTGTCAGGGACCAGTATGACATCTCTCCAGAGGACGAAACAATTGTCGTGGAACCCACTTCCAAACTAGAATCACCAGAAAACAAAAAATGTGGCCCTCACCCTCCCAAGCCCAAGGAAAGTACAATTGTTTGAAGTTCATTGACCATTGAATACCTGAATGTGAGATTTTACTCAGTACCTCCACCACCACACAATGTCTTGATCTTGTACACTCTCATAGTGTGTTTGTACTCGGAAATGAAGAAACCAAGAAGGCTACAGGTGGGGGCTAACAATGTTGGCTGTCTCGCGCCAAAGTTTAAGGACATGCCAGAATGTACTTTCTGAGAATCCAACACAAGTGAGAATGTTCTGAAGAGAAAGGTGTTGACACTCATAGAGATCGACAGCAGCAAGTTTGATGTCGCGATTGATTTTTTGATACATCAATGTTGATTGGTTGTGGTGCAAGATGAAGTGCTACAAGTACTAGAATATTTAATTTTTCTTCTTTCCCAAAAAGTCATGTACTGTCATCATTTATGCAAACAGCTGTAAGTAATACATAATAGCTGGACAGCTTGTATGTCTTACAGTGCGTTGTAATGGTGCTGGGTCATGCAGCCTGCCTGAATGTCCCGGCACCAGGTGTCCAGCTGAGTGGCTGCGCCGGTCCTTTCCTTTGTTCGATTTTCACTCACCTATACTGTCAAGTTCGTCGTATTCCGCACCTCCTCACTCGCTCCTTTGAATTTATCACTATGCATGATCACCTTGATATTGAGCTCAATACTAGAGCTTCGAGTGGTTTAGTCACACCTCCCGCGACTCAATCCACACCAGTACCAAGCACAAGTTCATCTTCTCACCCTCCTGCATCCACAAGACAATCTACTACTACTACCAAAAACCCAGCTGCTCCTGAGCCTTCTTCTCATCCTAGAGTATCCCATCACTCAAACGCCTCGACTTCTCAGCCTTTGGCACCTCAGCAAAATCGTGTGCCTGCTGTAGCTCTGGCTATCCCTAACACAGCCCCTGGTGTACAGCACCCACCGGTGTCTTACTAGGATGTGAAAGGCAAGAAAATCACCAAATTTCACAATCCTCCATGGTCAACGGTTCAGACAATTACCAACGGTTGATAATGTGGTTGTTTGTGGGGGATGAGATGTGTTGAACTTTTCAAGCGAATGCTAGTGATGTAAAAGAGGCAAAGAATGATAGAAACAACAGTAGCACAAGGTAGTGCTATGAACTTCAGAATAATATGTTGCAGCTGTATACAATGAGCTTGAACTTTAATATATATCCCTCTTGGATATCTCTTACTTATACTCAGCAATGGAGAACAAATTCACTAGCGGGATCATCCCAATACGTGGCCTCGAAACCAACTTTCTGCTGCTCAGGATCTCACAATGAGTAATGACGCAGTCCAGAATAGAGTACACCTTCTTGATGTAGTCTTAAGTGGCCAAGCTCTTGATATTCGTTGACAGATTGTAGGTCTTATTTGTGTCTACCCTAATTGATGAATAATACATATAATTCTCCCCACAGAACTTTTCCTGTGTCTAAAAGAGAACTAGAATAAAGGATGATTATGTAATCAAAGATGGCTCAAGAATGTGGCCAAATACTTCTGAAGAATGTATGAAGAATAATGTCAAAGGTGTGGAGCAAATAAACTAATATTTTCTCCTAATAATCACTTGAATGTTCACTCAAATAGTAGGGGCTAAGAATCTTAGTGGTGAAAGAATGTTCCCCTGTGTTCCCCTATAAACTTTGTCTCACTCTGATAATACTTGGGAATGAAATTTATTGCTTCACAAGAGGGGAAAATGAGCCCCTTATATACTACTAGACTAGTGGCTGTGCTACTGATTACTAATGTACTATAGAATATTCCAGAATGTTTGAGAAAGAGCAATAGAATCTTATAGAATGTCATAGAATGTCATGGAATGTTATGGAATGATTAGTAAGATACTCATAGAATGTTCTAGATTACTCAGCAAAGGCTGTGTTCCAGGTCCTTCTAGCACTGCCTTATTGCTGTGCATTGATTACCAATCCATTCCAACTAGTTCAACTTGGTTTGGTTGGCACCACTGCCTTGAGTACATAGATGTAAATAAAGTGTGCATAGAATGTGTGTGTACATATGTTTGGCATAGGGGTAAATAAAATAAAGAATTATAGAAAGGATAAAGGGTACATTAAGTATTTAGTTTGAACCGCTAAGTCGTATCTTGATGATACATGCTTAGAAATGTCTAAAGTAAATTGAAGTAAGGTATAGAAAATTCAGGGGAAGTGTATAGGCTATAGTAAGGACTAGCATGTGTCATAAATTTACCATGACCATGTACAAAACAGGTTTCATATGTGTCACCGGTAGCGCAACCTGCAGCTATTCAGCCCGCGGCCGCGCAGCAGCAACCCTTGCCATCCTGCAGATGAGATTGCCACCCTAAGGGCCAGAATTGCCGAGCTGGAACATGGCGAAGCTCACGGTGTGGTGAAAGAAATAGTAGTCAGCTTGCTATACCAACTAACCTACTAAATCCTAATGGGTGCGAGTGCAGTCCTTTGACCCAAGGGGACTGCTATTGAAGCACTTCCTTCTAATAGTGCGAGGGAAGAGAAAGGAAGGAGCTAAGATCTAAGACCTGAAATGTTCCAACCTACCGAAGGTCTGAGTCCGAGAATGTCTGATGCAACGCAGGATACCGACGGTATACCTGATGCGAGATACCGATGAGGAACACCGATGCAAGAAACCGATGGTAAACACTGACGTGAGTAGAGGAGTCCGATGCTGATGGGAGCGGCAGGTAAGGCTAGGCCAAGGTAAAGAGAGTCTCAGTATAACTAGGTATAGTGAGGTAAAACTAGGTATGGGTTGCTGAGTCTAGACTTGCGGTAGCGGTCCAAGTCTATACAAGGCCTAGGTATAAAAACCTTAGAGAGTACGCACTTAGAGTGGTTAAGGCACGTCCAAGATGAAAAGCAAAGAGGGATCAATTGCACAATCAAGACTAACTAAGGTGACTCCTACAATGGTAGCAGGTATGTCCAGAGAAGGGAAGTAAGAGATAATACGAAACTCGAGTCCTATTTATCTAACTGCGTGAACATCCAGAATTGCACAGGCGAGAGTAGTAGCGAAACGCAGGGTATTTGGGTCAATATGTAATAAGGCTTGCGAGTGCTGTGGCCATGGGAATACATGTAATAACACCTGCTGTTCATTCAGTAACAGCAAAATAAGCTTAAAACGCATCGATGGAGATAGGCAGACATGGGCAGGACATGGGAGGATTCAGTACCGACGGGAAGGAACAGTCAGCTGAGGTGCGCGATGACTGAAACGACAAGTAAGGGACAGTACAGACAACCCTGGCTCCCTGCGAGCAGCCAAGGCAACAGGTCTGTATCGGCCGAGTCAGATATAGTCCGGTGCAACAAGGAAGAGTCGAGTGAGTCAAGGCTTTGCAAGGGAGTGATGTATGGATGTGATGTGGACTTCTAGGATGCTTGACCTCTATAGCAAAAAGGGGTTCTGCAAGGCTAGCCTGAGTTTGAACACCACAACAGCAACCACCGGCCAGAGCACCCATGAACCAGCAGGCTCTGGTAGCAAACCCTGAGGCAGTGGATCACATTTGAGCAAATCTCACTGGTGCCAAAGACAACTCGAAGCGACCCACACTGCCTGCCCTTTGTCCAGGGCATAAAGTCAGCGCATTGAGCTTACATGAGTATTATCACGCTACCATTTACTGTGCTCTCGCGCTCCTCGAGCATACCATGCCTTTTATTTCATTTATTTTATTTTATTTGCTGGCCAAGACCCACATCTTGTGGCCCCACCACTGCCGTACCAAGTCACTGCCTTAAAGAGGAACTGTACCGTTCATTCGTTATTATACCGTTCCCCCATCATTGTCTGTATTGCTCTGTCAGTTCTGAAGCTAATATGCTTCTGTCATAGCGATTCCCACCAAGGTCAAGGATGCCTTCAAGCACTATTGTTATGTTCCCTATACAGCTCTCACACACACAGCTCGTTCTAAGGTGTTTTTGCGTGGGGAAGACTCATCTTTTGTTTTCACTCAGGATGGACTGACAGCTAAAGGTCTCGATCGCTTGAATGAACTTTCTATCGTGACGGTAGATTGGATAGCAGCGGCTAAATCGGCAGAGGAGAGAACTGCGCATCACTGGGGTGAAGATCATGCTGCAGCTCTGGCATCACGTCACCTCATAGTTCTTGACATTGGACACACCCATGGATGGTCAGTGGCTATGCATTACAATGTGCAGCAAAGAGAGCTGGTGCATGCCAACCATGAGTACAACCTCGCTGGGCTTGATGTAGCTGCTCTCACTCTAGCCAATAATAAAATTTCTGCTGTCATGCCGCATCCTATGCCTGTCTCGCCCAACAAATGTACTGCTCCAAGTGAATTTCCATCTTCACCACATAATAAATTGCACACCTTTGCGTCAAACCATTGCTTTCGCTGCAGAGCATCCAGTCACCTACCAGCCGACTGTTCTGCAGACACCACATCTGCAGGGTAAACCTGTCGCAGCTCTCACTACCAACACCTGTAGCAAGCATGCTCTCGCCAACTTGTCCAGAAAGCATTACTGCTTTAACTGGTCCAATGGCTCCAGTTGCCCCTTCGGCTCCAACTGCAGAAATATCCACGCATGCAGTCTCTGTGGCGATTCATCCCACAGGGGCCGGCAGTTGCAGAGCCCGATGTAGTGTTCAAACTTTCTCTAGCCTTGCAGAGGCACTTTTCACTATGCAGGTCCTATTGACACTTTCCTTAGATTAGGTTCGCACTTTTGCTGCTTACATAATCACTTCACTCTTTACCTAGGACTCTACAGTCTTTACCTAGTTTCCTTGTTTCCAGTTCTTTGGTTGCTCCCCATTCACTTGGGTTATTCAGTATCATCCCCTAGTTGTAGCTTTCCTAGTTGTAGCTTCTCAGCTCACCAGATAGCTCCTGGAACATAGTTTCTTACCTTGACTTGGAGTACCTTCTCCACTCTCCTTCCTTGAGCCTGAGTCTAGTCAGAGATCCTTTAGGGTTAAACATTCTTGCTAGCAAGAGTAGCAGCTAGGAGAGCAGGAGACTCATATATTTTGGTTTGATGCTTTTACCTACAGCCCAGCCAAAACTTGTTCACCACACCAATGTAGAGACTCGCGTTTCTGCAGGCTGTTATGGGCTCATATTACAAATTCTGACAACTTGCCTTCACTGCATGACTCGCACTATCATCACCTCTAGTCATTCCCTATAGAGCGCACCACTTTCCTGCGAAACGTGCCATAGGTGCAATACTTTCCCACACAACGCGCAGCATTCCTGCATGCGCGCCTTGCGTGCTTTCTCACACTTAAGTGCACTGTGTCGCGCATCATCCAG